ACAGTCGGACAGTGAATACTTTACAGCGGCCGCTGCTGTGAGTTAACAGTAGACTAAACTCCGGTGGACGAGCAGCACTGCAGCAGTCGGTAAATGCCGCTGTAACACATTAATAAACAATGAACCAAGGCACTCTGGAGAAAAGCATAAGGTTGGAGAAGTCGTTATTTAATTTAATTTGGCTTCGTATGATTAAAAGCAACACGATCATCGACCCGACGCAGTCCCCCATTGTTGTTGTAGCAAAACCACAACGAGTAGCGCTTCAATACAATCTTCCATTGTTGTTGTTGTCGATGTGAGGGGTTTCCACGCGGTTTGGCTTTATGAAGCAGGCACGCTAACGGTTACGTCATGACGCAAACGATGACGCAATGACGCAGCACCAGTCGGACTCTGAGCGGTGTGAACAGAGCGGGAGCTGAACCGAAGAACCGGTTCTGAACCAGAAAAGCTCTAGCACGGAGCTAGAACGGGAAAAGCCTTGGTGTGAAAGGGGTAACACTGCCAGATATCTGGCAACGGGGGCGAAACGAATGGCACCACCACGGCCATATCCTGTTCCCCCATCTCCACCACATCGAGCTCAGCCTGGTCATCCGTCTCATCACCACGCGGTGAGACATAGTGGGTCTGGAAATGATCCCACCGGTGCTGGCGTGTGAGCCGTGGGAGCACCCGGCAGGCAGTGCAGGACAGAGAAGGCTTCACGCCGTCCACGGCGTGGTCAGGCCCCACACACTCGAAGCAGAGGTGGTGGGGATCGGCGCCCGCTATTAAGTCAGGCCACGAAGGACAGGTCTCTAGAAGTGGCGACTGCATGAAGGTATGATAACTTCTTTCTTCTTCTTTCAAACGTTTGACTTTTCTGTCAGGTGTTGTGCTGCTCGCTGAAGAGAAAAGGATGACAGTCAGGAGGTGTAGCCGCCTTACATACTGTGAGCTGCACGCGCATTCAGGTAGGCTCGCCCTGATTGGCCGGCTACGTTTATACAACTTCAGTGTGTGAACGCTCGCATATCATTGATGAGAGTAGTACCCCATAGAGTCCAGTAGAGGGTGGAGCCTGTCTTAGATAGAACAATATGCTTGATGGACTCATGGTGCTAGAGCAGTGGTTCCCAAACGGTGTGCCGCGGCACACTGGTGTGCCGTGAGGCAAGTCCGGGTGTGCCGTGGGATTTTGTGACAACCATACGTTATTATTGCAATATACAACTACACAAAAATAATTATTTTTAATTTACTATATCAGTACTTTGTATGCACTCATTTCATAATACAGAGGCAAACTCTATACCTAAAAACAATTCTTTAAAAAAAAATCCTCACAGAACCCCATATTTCGCTGTTAACGCAGTTACAGGTGGGAATTATAAGACCGTGACACAGGCTGAAGGACAACATTAAAACAGAGAAACACGCAAGAGGGAAAATGGAGCGCTTTCTTGTGCGGAGCAAACCACCAACCACCAGTGCAGAGACTGCCGACAACCCACCACCGAAAGAAAAGAGGAAAAAAACTGTCAGCAGACAGTATCATGAAAGTTACCTGTCTTATGGCTTCAGTGGCGAGCGGCAGATTTTCCCTACAAATAGACGAACCTACTGACATAAGTGGGGCTGCCCAACTTCTGGCAAACGTCAGATATGTTGATGCTGACTAGGGATGCCAGAAACTGACCATGATCAAATTCGAAAATCCGACAGCCCTGGCGAATTTTACTCGATTATTCGCCGCACCCCCCCCCCCCCCCCCCGCGGGAGAGGAAAAAACGTATTTTCGCAAAGCTTGCATTTTACTTCATTTGCACTTGTCACTTCTCTTCTTTGAACGTGCCGCTTTGTTTATCTTTAGTTGTGTTGTTCTCACTGTTCTGTATATCGCCAATTGCACGTGTGACGGAGAGAGGGGGGGTCGGTGTGTAGCAGGCTGCAGCAGGCAGCAGCAGTCTGCACTCTTCCTCCAAGTTTACAGTAAAACAAACTGGTGGTGTGACCAATGGCCATTTACAATTATTAATACTATTACTATTAGCATTAGTCTATATTTTGGTTGAAACTAAGCCAGAAAAAAGAAAAGACAAACATAAATAATAATAAAAATATATATAAATAAAATCGAATTTTAAAAATAATTTTCGATTATGGAGACTAACAAATATTCGAAAAATCGAATAATCGCTGGCATCCCTAATGCTGACTCTATCAAAGAGACGTTTTTCTTTTGCAAAGAAATGGAAAGCCATACTACGGGAGAAGAAATATTCAGGGTAACTAATAACTATTTAAAAGAGAACAGTCTGACCTGGAATATGTGCGTCAGTCTTTGCACAGATTGTGCGGCAAGCATGACGGGGAGAGTGAAAGGATTTATTGCTAAGGTGAGAGCACAAAACCCACATATCGTGACAAACCACTGCATTTTGCATAGAGAGGCATTAGTTGCCAAAACCATGCCCCCGGAGTTGACTGAGGTGCTGAATCAGGCTGTGCAGATGGTGAATTACATCAAATCAAGGCCCCTGAAATCTCGCCTCTTCTCCCAGCTGTGCGCCGAGATGGGAGCCGACCACCAAAGCCTGATCCTCCACAATTTTTTATTTTGTGACCTGACTGGTTTAAATGAGTGTGTTGCTGCTTTGATGAAGCCTAATTTGATAAAGTTTCAAATTAATTTCTGAAATATTTCGTTAATAAATATTTCATGAGTAATATAGTTGTCTTTGTCACATTTTATTTGGCATTAGTAAATAATTATGCACATTTACAGATATTTTTACATGATATGAGTGATAACACGTGTTTTAGGGCTATTTTGCACAATAGGTGTGCCTTGAGATTTTTACTTGTCCTTTGGTGTGCCTTGGGCACAAAAAGTTTGGGAACCACTGTGCTAGAGAACGTGGTTCATAATGCACCTGAACAAGGTCAAAGACGAAACCTGAGAGTCAGAAACCCACCACAGTGGTTGACAGGTTTTGAAAGATAAAACAAATGAACATATGGACTAACAGTAATGCCATAACTGAGAATCTATTGATACTGTTATGTGAATGTAAGTATTGATACTGTTGTGTGAATTTATCCTGTTCTGAGGACTGAGTTAAAGAAAATTGTTACAGTACTTAATTCAATTTGAATACCAAAAGTGAATGTTTAAATTGGTGTTTTCATTCATAAGGTGATTTTACTTAGATACTATGTTATAAGAGTAATCTGAGTTTGCATTCAAGTCTTGCACTAAGAACCAGTAATACTTTATGGTTTAATATCTTGATTTCATTGTCTTGAGTTACAGGATGCTGTGTGAACTACAATATTTAATTTGACTGAGTTACATACAGTAGGAGGTTATTCCTTTAAAGGGGACCTATCATGCAAAATGCACTTTTGTACGTCTTTTATACATGAATATGTTATACGTTCGAAAGCGCTGGAGACGCTGTAGTACATATGCCAGGCCTGTAGATGGTGCTGTTCTCACAGAATCTGGCCTTGCAAAAACAGAGCTAAAAAATGTCAAATTGAGCAAAATGAGGCATGGCTAAAATGCATGATCTGTTTGGTATTTTGAAAAAAAAAAAGTATAAATATGCCTTATATAGGTATGGTCCTACACTATATTATTAACATATAGCATGATAGGTCCACTTTAAGAGAAGGGGAAATGTTGTGTCCTGTTACTGTAGCCAGAGGGCGCTGTTGGACAGAAAGTTGATATAGGATGCCTGAAGGTGGAAGTTGGATTAAGAAGAATAAAGATGGAGTAATGGGTAGCACACGTGCCTACGGCTCATACTTTCTACCTACTTGCATACATACAAAATACCACAAACTTCCAGCTTCATACTTTGGGTATTCTAGTAAAACATTTGTACATGCTTTAATGTTACACAAACTTTATTTTCTTTGTGTCTGGATACCTGTTTCAAACGCTTTGTTTTAGCTGCTCAAAAGGATTTTATTGTCAAGGCAAAGTCTTGAGTCCATGTTCACCCTCTGATGGTGTTTACTGCAAACCAAAATGAACTGAGACACATTCAGAATGTTTAGAGCTGCTTTACAATTAAAAAAGCTTTATATTTCGAAACCTCCCTTTTCAAAAATCACTTTATAGTCTAAAAGGCATTACCTATATTATCTAAAGAAAAAACGTCTTGTCATCCAGGATTTTGCATATATTACGGCCAAACATCTCTCACCAAAGATCTTCTAAATGTCACCCAACAAGAGGACATACCCTCCATTACAAAGTGCACCATGATGGATGTGGCTGAGGTGGAATTGTTCTTAGGAAGGTTCATGTATAAAGAGAACTGAGCAGTGTCAGAAGCAGGACTCTGTTCATTCCTATATTCCACAATGTGTTTTGACAGAAATACGACTGAACTGACTCGACTTCCAGCATCAGCCTCCATGGCGTTAGAACAGGACTTATTATTGGAACTGAAACACTCAGGTAATCTGAACAACACAGTAACTGAACTCTTCAGAAAGAAAGGAGGATGGTTTTTGGGAACAAATAATCAAACGTATTGGTGAGTAATGGCTATAATGTCTTTTATTTAACATTGTTCATATTTTCTTGTCATTTTATGAAGTAAATATTGTTGCTTCTGCTAGAGATGATGTGTGGCGCAGCAGTGAAAGGAGGCTTGTTGAATTGTGTTGTTTGGTGTTCTTGCTTTAGTAATGGCATTCATTCTCTCTACATTAGAAACCTGTCTGTGATGCAGCGCCCTGTTATACTGCGTTAATGTATCATATTAATGGTTTCTATAGCCGTGACGTCATAATAATGCTATTAGGAGGTGGGTTCATTCAGGTAGACACTACTGAAGGCCTAGGTATGAAATGCACGGCCTGTTTCTGTTTTCAACATAACTCATTTGAAGATATTGTGAGACAAAAAACAATAATTAGGATGCAAATAAAGAAACAGATTTTTGTATGAAATTTCATTAAAGGTCATTTTTTTTATTGATAATTTTATCTTGATCAAAATTCAACAAAAGCCAAAAATGTATTATTATCTCCCACCGGCCAAGCAAATACATTCAACAGTAAAAACCCTAAACATATTAAATTCATAACCATATATAACAAGGAAAAGCATTACATTCTCTATCTTCTATCAAAATGATCGTAACTAATTGATTATTCAGATCATTGTTGCAGCTGAATTCTGTCGCATGAGGACTTTGAGGAAAGAAATACACTTTTCTCTGATAAAAATCACACACAGCAATTCAGCTTTAGAGCTCATCCCTCTTCTTCTCCTCCTCCTTGTGGAAGACTTGTCCATCCGGCTGCTTCCTCCAGGCCAGTTGGACGTTGTCGTCCAATCCCTGGGCCCTTAGCTTCTTTTTCGCCTGAGACACAAAAACTCATTTTCATTATCGTTCCAATAAAAACAGATGATTCATCTTTAGTTCACTCATCTGAAATGGTAGTTGTTCCCCTTATTTCTTCCAGTGTAAAGGCTTACTTCAGGTTATGGAATAGTATTCGTACATTTTCCTAATGCATTTGGTGGCATGTGGCTAAGTTTCTGCTATTTACTTCTGCACATATTTACACGTCTTCTTACTAAATGCTTGGGTCCTGTTATTTGTGGCCAAAGTATTGAATGTATAATGGATATAGAATTTCATTCATGTTCATCTTGGTCCATTTCATTCGTATTGAAATTCATTTACTACATTTTCTTTCGTTGAATTCATTATTCTTTAATAGTTATTTATTTGTTTCCTACCTCTTTCGTCTCTTGTTCTCATGTCATGTGAATTTCCTTTCTGGTGATTGATGATTTTGCATAAAAGTAGAAAACATGATTTACCTCCACCAACATCGCATCCAGAAAAGCTTTGCCGTTCAGATCCACATCGTTTGGATTCTCCACGCTCACCTTTATCACTTTCATTGAAACAGGCACAACAGGCACAGGCACAACAGGCACAGCTAAAAACACAAACAAACTTCATCAGTCACAACATTTATGGTGTCTTCTTTTTCAGCAGACTCAATATCATCACTTGCTTTGACGTAGCTGTGAATTTTACTCACGTCTGTAGCAAATGAACGGTTTCTCCACTCTACAGTCCAAGTCCTCCCATCTTCCAGAGTTGTCGAAAGCTGCAGCCACACAAACCTTTGAAGCTCTGTAGTTAGGTTTATTTACTTTCCAGTACTTGAAGGAGGAGTTGCTTCCATCGGACCACTTCCAGGAGTCTCTGTAAAGGCCGATCCAATACCAAGTCCCTGCAGGTAACATCGCAGCAAGCTGCTGGTTCTCCGCCTGGTTTCTCACACTGGCCAGGTCTGTGTGGTGTTCTCTGCAGTAGCTCTGGCCCTCAGTCCATGTCATTTCTCTTTCAATGAGGACAAATGCTGCATTCGGCCCTGGAAATGGACCCCAGAGAAGCTGAGTAGAGGCACCACGACATACAGCCTGACATCAATGCCACATTCTGGGGGTATTGATGCCTTTATAATATAAAATATTACATTGAAATCCCACAAATGTGTACTTTGTCATTTGTAGTTCTGGGGTTTTTCAACACATGAATGTTGGCAAGAAACTTTAGTAGAACCAGTGGTGGAATATTCAGATATTTTAGTAAAAGCAGGAGTACAACGATGTGAATATACTGTGTTACAGGTTAAAGCTTCATTCAAATGATATTGATTCTATATTGTTCTTATTCTGTTTAGCACAGATGTATAAGATGTAAAACGTACCTACAATTCTGAAACAAGTTTGCAAAAAATGGTGTCTTATAATTTCCTTTTACGTTATCTTTTAAATGAAACCATGTGAGAATTTTGGTTAAAAGGGAAATGTCTTTAGTGGAACTGCTAACAAATCCTAAACATCTGAATCATGACAAGGAAACACAGGTTTTTGTAAAAGTCACAAAGAAAAAAGGTTGAGAAGATAAAGACCAATGCATTGTATTTCAGAAGCTTAAAATGTGATTTTAAATGTGTTTTAAATGTTTTTAATATAATTTTGAGTTTATATTCTTACCTGTGACATCAAAGCAGACCGACCTGTAGCGGGCATTACAATCATAATCATAAAATATTGTATTAGCATACAATATTGTGCATTGGTCAATTGGCCAGTTGTCTGGTTGATTACCCCCCCATCGTCTGAACTCGATCTCCCCCGGTTCGTAGAAGCTTGGGTCTGACATCGACCACCTCCAGATGTCCCGGTCATCGTGCAGCCCTATCCAGGCTGACTGAAAGCACAACATTGTTATAATTATTACATCCTGTTGAAGCTTTTAAAGCTGCTGTTTAAGAAAATGTGTATGTTTAATAAAGAGAAGGGTTTGTTTGCCTTTATGAGACCAGCCTTGGTACATGGTGATCTAATGGGAATCCCCTCAAGTCAACATTCATTTACAGCCTTGTTACTCTGAACCTCTTCAACTTTATTACAGGGTTTTATGCTATAGCTTTGGCTTAAAACATTTTCAACTCTGTTTTAATACTCAGGTTCCCATAGGACTTTAACACAGGTTTAGCTTTCTGTAATAATCTCTCCTTTTTCAATTTGACTCTAAAAGAAATGTAATTCATTTGAATTGAAAGACAGAGAAAAGTGACCTCACTTGGTTGTATTGGCCTGCCATGTTGTTCAGGAGCTCCACAACCTCCATGCTGTCTACAGTGGCCAGGTCTGTGTGTTTCTCTCTGCAGTATCTCTGTGCTTCAGACATGGTCTTTGCTTCAGAAACAAAATGGTACTGACGTTCAGCATGTGAGGAGACAGCGCTCAGCCCTGTAGAGACACACACATTTTGATTAGATTCAATATCAATTACTGAACCAAGTTCTCCAAATTACAATAAAGTCAAATTGTAAAATTGTCAGTGGGAAACAAAAATAGAAAGTACTAAAAATTGCTAATGGGATATATTTAAAAATAATTATAATTACCTGAAAGAGCGATGATGATCAGAAGAACTTTTTCCATCCTTGTCTCTTCCCTGTTCCTCTCTTTTGGTCTGACACTGTAGAGGTGTAGCTGTTGACATTATATAATAGGTCAAATGCAAAGTGGATATGGAACCTGCCGTCACATTTGCACATGTATTTACAAGGAAAGACCAATAGAGTAATATGGGCGTAGGACTGGTCAGCGCCATATAGAGAGAGAGTTATGACAATGGAAGTCCAAAATGCTTGATCGTCACGTGGTTCAGGGAGAGTCAATAGTTCCCCGGAAGTTCGTGGCGGGACATTTGAATGCATTATTACCGGAGATAGAACTACGATTTTTGGTAATAAGTAGTGAATAAAGGTTTTGATTTGCAATATGTATACAACATACCGATATGTATATGTATTAACATCAATATGTTTTAAAAATAAAATAGAATCTGCTAATATTTATGGATAATATTAGGAATAGTGTGAACAGCTAGTTTACTTGTTAACATATACATGTTAGGCTAACGTTGCCTTGGTTAAAGAGCCTGTTGCTGTTGTTTATTGCTTTGAATGATTTAAAACAAATATTATCTTCTTAAACAGGTATGGTAGTCAGGTGCATCACTTCCTAATGTTTATTGATATATTTAGAGGGAGGGGATGGCAAGGAATGCTTCAAAATTTAGATTAGATTCATTTCTACCATTTTTTAAATTCATGGTGGTTTCAGTAATCCCATGGTACTAGAGGACATAAGTAATCTAAATGACTAATGTCATCTTTATGACTTTCAGAAAGGACAGGAGACCAACAGGTGACTATCAATGGACTAGCAGCAACATGATTATGACGTTAAATGTGTTGTTTTAGGAACATCCATTGTAAATACATGGAATTCAATAAACATTGAATAGCATGTCTTGCAGTTTGTCTGTGCCTTTTCCTCCGTGTTGTCCTGGCATATAGTCTCCACCATGGTTTGCTGTGCTGCCTGGGGATGCTCCAATCGTTCCGAAAAAGGAGTATGAATGAGAATGTACGGCTTCCCCACTGACACAGAGAGGAGGAAAAAATGGCTAGCTCAAGTCAGCAGGAGCAATTTAACAATCAAAACAGACAGCCGCAACAAAATATGTGAGGTAATCATATTCAAACACTGCATTTGCACTTTTTCACAAAACGAAGACCACACCATTGGGAAGCTTAATGTTTGGTTTAATACAAATAACAGGGAAAGGCTTGAAAAACTCTGAGAGTTGAGACTCAGGGTGCAGGGTGAGGGTCTCAGTGCAGGTATTCAGGCTCTATTGAACCCCCCTCTGGTTCTTGTGCTGAAAGAGGGAGAAACAGACAGGAGAAAGGGTTATACACACCTATATAGCACACCTATTGGATGGGAAATTGCCTTGGGGAGATAAGGTGTGGTCTTTGTTTCCAACTGAAGTTATGGAACTTTATTATTTGTGAGTTTAACAAAGTATGACAAATGGCATCAGTAATGGATGTGATATGAATTTGTATAAAGTTGTCTCACATTCTTGGTCGTATTTTACGTACAGTATGTAATGAGTGTATACATGTCCAGTAAGTATGAAGTGTTTCCCAATACTGTGCATTCAACTACTATGGGATATGTATGTGGGCAGACAAAACTGAGTTGTTGTGTGTGTGTGTGTGTGACTCTGTCACTCTGCAGGCACATTTTGATGCAGACCAGTTTGTCAAGACCAAAAAGGGCAAGACTAGGCTGAGAGCAGATGCTATTCCCACCATCTTTGTGCATCGCCCTGTGGTCAAAAAGAGGAGGGCCCCTGCACCATGATGCACCCCGGGACCTGTAAATACAGAGCCCATAGCTGATGATCACAGCTATAGTGTGAAAGGTGACACAGGTATAATACGTCTGAACTCTTAATAATAAAAGTAATATTTCTTATTTTTAAGTGGTATAATATTTTGAATGTTCGAAAATTAACAGTGCCATGTCTTCTACTTACATTAGTCTCAAAGATTGAGGGAAGAAGGGATGAGGAGACTGAGAGAAGGGAAAGTGAGGGTGAAGAAAGAGAGGACATGGCTAGTGAGGAGAGACAGGGAGAGCGGACACCACCCAGTCAGCCAGCAGCCAGTCAGCATACCAGGGAACCAGGCCTACTCCAAAATGGAGATCGTAATTTCTCCACCTCCACTCATTACAATCACACGTGCCCCAATGTTATATTTAACTAATATTATATTCCTCCACCCCACAAAAAAATCACGTTTAGAAGCCCTTTTTCTCTAATTCCACAACGTTGGATGAAATAACATTAGGAGAACGGATTAATAGGCTGTTCATGGTTCACGTGTGTTGCTAACTTTATCCGGTATCTGTTATCTGTAAACGTTCCCTAAATCAATAGATTATGGGATAATCCACTAACATCCTTTAATACACATGTTAATTTGACTCAGATGTGCTGATAATATCCGCAATATAAATCTTTAAACGTCTTCTTACCTTTAAAAGTCCATCACGAACGCTGCAACTCTACTGCGCTGCTAGCCGCAGATCGTGGAGCCTCTCGAGTCAATAGTTCCCCGGAAGTCAGCGGCAAGCTAACTTCCGGGGAACGATTGACGGCTCCACGATCCGCCATCGCTGGAAAAAAACGGGTCCATTGGAGTGAACGGAGATGTCGTAACTCTTGTATTATATGGCTCTGGGACTGGTGATACACAGCAGGAAAGCCAAATCCATGCCCATACACAAAAACAATACAAAAAGTCTGAAACAACACTGATCATTTCATATAATGAGACACGTTTACAGTTTACAAGCTAATACATTTAAAAGATCAAAAAGCCGGTGTAAGAATTATTGCACAAACTTCCAGCTTCATACTTTGGGTATTCCAGTAAAACATTTGTTCATGCTTTAATGTTACACAAACTTTCTTTTTCTTTGTGTCTGGATACCTGTTTCAAACGCTTTGTTTTAGCTGCTCAAAAGGATTTTACTCTCAAGGCAATGGCTTAAGTCCATGTTCACCCTCTGATGGCATTTACTGCAAACCAAAATGAACTGAGACACATTCAGAATGTTTAGAGCTGCTTTATAATTTAAAAAGAGTTATCTAACCAAAGATCTTCTACATTTCACCCAACAGGAAGACATACAGTGGAGGAAATAAGTATTTGATCCCTTACAGATTTTGTAAGTTTACCTTCTTACAAATAAATTAACAGTCTATATTTTTAATGGTAAGTTTATTTTAAAAGTGAGAGTAAGAATATCAAAAAGAAAATCCAGAAATTGACATTATATAAAAGATGAAATGTATTTGTATTTAACTGTGGGAAATAAGTATTTGATCCCCTTGCAACACTTGTCTTAGTACTTGGTGGAGAAACCCTTGTTGGACAGACAGAGGTCAGACGCTTCTTGTAGTTGGTCTCCAGGTTTGTGAACATCTCAGGAAGGATTTTGGTCCACTCTGAAGACCCTCTCCAAATCCTGAAGGTTTTGAGGCTGATGCTTGGCATCTCGAAGCTTCAGCTCCCTCCACAGATTTTCTATGGGGTTAAGGTCCAGAGACTGGCTCGGCCCCTCCATCACCTAAGTGTGCTTCTTCTTTAGCCACTCCTGTGTTGCCTTGGCCGTATGTTACGGTTTATTGTCCTGCTGGAAGACCCATCCATGACCCATTTTCAGTGTCCTGGCTGAGGGAAGGATGCTATCGGCCAAGATTTCACAGTACATGGCCCCGTGCATCCTCTCCTCGATGCAGGGAAGTCGTCCTGTCCCCTTAGCAGAGAAACACCCCAAAGCATAATGTTTCCACCTCCATGCTTGAGGGTGGGGATGGTGTTCTTGGGTTATAGTCAGCATCTCTCTTCCTCCAAACACGGCGTGTCGAGTTGATGCCAAAGATCTCGATTTATTTCTCATCTGACCATATCATCTTCTCCCAAGCCTTCTCTGAATCATTCAGATGTTCATTGGCAAACTTTAGACGTGCCTTTCATGGTCCTTCTTGAGCGGGGGGGGACCTTTCGGGCGCTGCAGGATTTGATCCATTGTGATGTAGTGTGTTACCAATAGTTTGCTTGGTGACTGTGGTCCCAGCTGCCTTGAAATCATTAACAAGTTCCTCCCGTCCTTGGCTGATACCTCACCTTTCTCAAGATCATCAATACCCCAAGGGGCGAGATCTTGTGTGGAGCCCCAGACCGAGGGCCATTGATTGTTGATTGATGCCCATTGTTTTTATAATTGAATCTTAATCAAAAGTCAGCAAAAGCCAAACATTTTATTATCCCCCACCAGCCAAGCAAATACATTCAATAGTAAAAACCCTAAACATATTAATTTCATAACCATAACAAGGAAAAGCATTACATTCTCTATCTTCTATCAAAATGATCGTAACTAATAGATTATTCAGCTCATTGTTGCAGCTGAATTCTGTCGCATGAGGTCATTTAGGAAAGAAATACACTTTTCTCTGATAAAAATCAGACACAGCAATTCAACTGTAACGGCCCCTACACACGGCGGCGTGCGTTGAAATTTGCCGGCGGGCATGTCTGACGCTCGACCAACAACCAATCACATGAATCTCCCGCCCCGGACACACAAGCAGCGGTTTGATTGGCTGGAGCTTGTACTGGCATATGATTCGATTGGCTGACGCTTCCTTCTAAGCTTCAAAAGTAGAACATTGCTCTACTTTTGAAGCGAGCTACGTGAGCAAAGCTACCCTTTGCTCCCACAATGCAGTTCGGCGAAGCGTGACGTCACCCCATTCAAAGTGAATGGGCAGAAGCGTTGAAGCGTCAACGCACGCCGCCGTGTGTAGGGGCCGTAAAGCTCACCCTTCTTCTTCTTCTCCTCATAGTGTTTGACATACATGTCTTACAGTTCCCCCTTGTCATCTGTCATGCCAAAAGGTCAGACGCAACAATTGTTTGTGTAGGCAAATAATAAGCATGTAGCTGAATTACATATTTGAGACTTCAACTTTGTTAAACATTTTTTAGTACCATTTAGTTGAACTATAGCAACAAACAAATAGTCGCCACAATGATGTGTCTTTTACATGAATAGAACTTCATGTTGTTAGGTTTC